TATTCTATTCTATTCTATTCTATTCTATTCTATTCTATTCTATTCTATTCTGTTCTGTTCTGTTCTGTTCTGTTCTGTTCTGTTCTGTTCTGTTTTCTGTTCTGTTCCGTTCTGTTCTGTTCCTATTCCTACTCTATTCCATCCCATTCCTATTCCATTCCCATATTTTCTCCTCTTTTCTCTTTTCTTTTCTTTTCTTTTCTTTTCTTTTCTTTTCTTTTCTTTTCTTTTCTTTTCTTTTCTTTTCTTTTCTTCTCTTCTCTTCTCTTCTCTTCTCTTCTCTCTTCCCTTCCCTTCTCTCCTCTCCTCTTTTATTTTTTCTTCTCGTCTTCCCCCCTCCCCTTGTAATGCCTCTGACAATGAAATGAATATATGTTAGAATTTCATCATTCCATACTGGCAGATCACCAATATGATGTCCATTGGCCCATCAAAAAAGAAAAGATGGACGACTATATTTATGAATAAAACCCCCCATTGTATATTTCATGGGTTAGAGGGGAGAGGAGAATGGAGATTGAAATTTCCTAAGAATTTGGCTCCATCTTCGCAGGTTAGATTTATGAGGAAAACCTTTTTAAAAATGATGTGCTGAATTGTCAACAAAGACTTGAATACTGGCACACAACTTTATAGAAGAAAAATGAACAGAAAATTACATTTGACTGACTCTGTCATATTTCTTATGTCGCACCAGTAAGCTTGAAGCCAATACTTACATTAATTATGACTGAAAATTTTCCGATGCCACTCAAAATATTGAACCAAATTCCTGCAAGAAAGCATAAAACTTTGTTAAGAACTCTTGGTCAAGTTCTCATTAAGCAAATTCTGAACACAGGTAGTCCTCAACTTATAACCATAATTAAACCTAATGTCATAAGTGGAGATGGTCATTAAGTAGATCATCATGCGACAGTGCTCAATTTTAAAACCTTTTTTATGGCAGTCGTTAAGTGAACATTGCAGGTATTAAATGAATGCCTTGATCATTAACTTGTTTGTTACGACTCATCATTTGTTGGAAATTGGAAGTAACCCCCCCCTTTGTGTCAAAAATGTTGTAAATTACAGCCACATGACCACAGTCAAGCTGCAAATGGATATCAATGAGGACTAGTTGCCTAGTGCCCAAAATTCAGTCACATGACCACAGGGAGAATGTGTCATGCCTTTGTTGGAGTCTGAATCTGAGGAGGAAACTGAACAGTTGACAGGGAGTGGGAGTGTTGCTCCATTGGCTGTGGAGGAAACTGGGGAAGAACAAAGTCCAGCTGGGCAGAGCAAGGAGAGTTAGAACAAGGGAGAGGGAGTTCAGAAGAAGACCCAGGCCCACCCCCTCTTCATCCTAGGGCATGCAGGGAGGAACAGAGAAGAGAGCAACGTGGGTTGCGTGGCTTATGGGGGAGGAAAGGGCCCTGATTCCCTTCATTAGGCACACCTGGGAAGAGAGTTTAAAAGAGATGCAAGCTGAGAGTGGCATTTGCTGGGAGCATATGTGACTTTATCTTGTGTTAACTTTCGTTATCTGTGTTCCTGGAATCCTCCCAATCAGGTTGAATTACTGCCATCCCTTCATGTCTCGAATTCCTTTTTCAAGGTCCGATGTAACTTAGAATGGTTGTTAAGTGGCCCATCGTAAGTTGAGGACTGCCTATATCATATTTCCCTTAACACGGTTTTCTTAATCTTTATTATTTTAAAAAATAAACAACCCTCGTACCTATATCCTTTGCTCTCACAGTATCGGGCCTTCTTAGTTCAGCCACAAACTTTTTGGCATCGAGTCGAACTTCAATGACGTTGTTCAACAAGGCAAACACTGGAGCCAGAGGAAAGGAGGCCACAAAGAGAGTCACAAAGCCAAACTGTATGACTAGAAGACAAGAAAGGAGGAGGAGGAGAGGGACGTGAAAGGAGGGATAAATGACCACTATAAACATTTCAGGTGGCAGGTATCTCCTTCTAGAGAAGGTGTATTCTCTGACTCGGATCTAGGGGTAGGCTGCCCGCATCCCTCCTGAGCTCCATTTTTGCTGGCAGAGGCACTGTGAGCTGCTCCTTTGCTGTTTCCAAGCCAGATCTAAGTACCCTGTGGGTCAAATCCAGCCCATGGACGTTGAGCTTGACACCCCTGACTTAGTGCTGTAAAGCAGGGGTCGCCAACCTTTTGGACATCAGGGACCACCAAACTCAAAATTTTAAATCCCATGGATCAGAGACTCTGGGAAAATCCACAAAAAAGTCTGCAGGAAAATTCCCCACCCCGTTTTCCTACCAATCCATCATTCTTTATTTGGGATTACAGCTCTGTTCTCAGGGGGAGAGAGAGACTTTTGGCTTCATGCAAGGAAAGCAGCAGAAGCTGCAGAAGTCTTTCTTTCTCTCCTCCAAACTTTGCCAGAAATGACTCTTTGTGAGACTTGTCATGCCAGCACAGCCTCTTGGAGCAGGATGCCTTGCAAGGTCCCAAAGACCCATTTCTGGCGGAATTTGGGGGAGAGAAAGAAAGACTTGCTGCTTTCCTTGCATGCAGCCAAAAGCAGAAGAAGAAAAAAGCAGAAAGAAGCAGCCAGGTGGCAAGGCAAGGCATGTGGGGCGAGTGGGGCAAGTTCCCCCCTCCACCCTTTCCCCCCTCCCCTCACTAGCACATGTTGTTTGCAATGCTAATGATGCAAGCCTTGTGTTCCCTCAGGCCATGTGGGCGGCGCAGCCTTGTGTTCCTGTGCAGCCTGGATTAATTGCTTTGGGGTTGCTTTGGGGGTGACATTCCTCTGCAGACCACCAAAATTTTCTTGTGGACCACCAGTGGTCCCCGGCCCACTGGTTGGTGACCACTGCTGTAAAGCATTATGGAGTGGTATGTAAGTCTAAATACTATTGCTATTACCTGATTTAATATTATTATAATTATTATTATAAAACAATAAAATACAGATTAAATTTAAGGAGCTTTGGATTTGGTCATCGATAATACACAGTTGCTTGTTGTTTAACCAGCTGTGGAGGAATCTGACATTTTCTTGCGTTGTTCTCCTTCTGTCCTAGAGACCAGATGTGACAGTTCAACACCATGTTTATCAGCTCCAAGGCCTTTAGTTTCATCACATCGCTGTTTTATCACTTCTAATTTCTTGAGAAAACGCTCTCCTGTATTTTGCAGTCTAGAAACCTTTTGAAATTCTAGTACCGGCAACGATTTCCCCGTGTAATTTTTTTTTTGGGGGGGGGGGGTGATTAATGTATACAACATGTCTCCACGTGCTGCCCCCAAAAGAAAACATTCAAATCCTAGAATGTCATGAAGATTAGAGTGGAATGTGGTTTGTCTCTTTAAGGACGTTTAGTTTGTTGGCGTCTGGGGGTAGAGCAAGTTTTGATGGTTTTTCCTGCTTTGGGGAAAACATTTCCACAGCTTCAAAATTAATTCTGCTGGATTAAGAGGTACTGAATTTAATTCTGCCTTTGCCTGGTGTTTATCAGAAGGACAATCTTACTGTCTCCAAGAGAAAAAAGAATTAATTGCGTTTTATTGATTGTTTTCCCCAAAAGGTTTCCTGGGCTATTTCTGTGGTATGAGTAGTTCTCGATTTACGATCACCATGGAACCCAAGATGTCTGTTGTTAAGTGAGACATTGTGAGTTTTGTCCCATTTTATGACATTTCTTGCTCCAGTTGTTAAGTGAATCACTATGGTTGATGGATCAGTATCTTGATTGTTAAGTGCATCTGGGTTTCCAATTGACTTTGCTGATCAGGCGGTCACAACAGGGGATCATATGACCTTGGGATACAGCAACGGTCGTAAATATGAACCAGTTGCTGAGTGTCTGAATTTTAATCACATGATCATGGGGAGGCTGCGAAGGTTGTAACTATGAAAAATGGTCTTAATATAAACAAGATGAAAATTGGGAACGTGAGTTTTATCTTCTTATGGATATCAGGCAATGCCGAAGAAAGGCATAGGAGAGTGGTGGCTAATCTTTTTGGGCTTCTGTGCCAAAAAAAGTGAGCATGCTTGCACACTCGCACTCGCGTGCCAGCACCCAGAAGGCAATGCCCCCAACACATGTGTACTGAACACGAACTGTTTGGAACTGGGCCACAGAAGTGGTAGGCGGGTGAGCGAGCGTGCATGTGTATCCTCACTTGTGTGAGCGGCGAGCAACCATGTGTGCACATGCTCCAGTTGTATGAGTGGCAGGCATGCTTATCTGTGGCTCACGCAAATGGACCTGTGCAGGGAACCATCTCTCCCCACCCCCAACTGGTTTGCAAAGCTGGAAAGATCACAGGATACCGTCTCCAGCTCCATTCTTGGGGAGAGACAGAGAGAGAGAGACTTTTGGCTTTATGCAAGGAAAGCAGCAGAAGCAGCAACAGTCTTTCTTTCTCTCCCCCAAACTTTACCAGAAATGAGTCTTTGTGAGACTTGTCACACCAGCACAGCCTCTTGGAGCAGGATGCCTTGCAGGGTCCCAAAGACTCATTTCTGGTGGAGTTTGGGGGAGAGAAAGAAAGACTTTTGCTGCTTTCCTTGCGTGCAGTCAAAAGCAGCAGAAGAAAGAAGCGGACCACCAACATTTTCTCACGGATCACTAATGGTCCCCAGCCCACTGGTTGGTGACCACTGGGCTAGCAGGTACTGTGTTGGCTAGAAGCTTCCTTGTTCCCAAAAGGTGCTTCCCTTGCTATTTTCCTGACAATGGTGAGATGGACTTTAAACTATCTCCCAAGTTTGGAGAATTAGGTAATTAACACTTTGATTTCAAGCAGTTATTGAGCGGAATTAATGCCTTCCAGCATAAACTACCTGTTTGACCTGAAGAGAACTTTTACTCAATTAATGGAAGATTATTAGTAGACATTTGCCCTGAGAACAATATAAAGACAGATGTTTAAAATATGTAGGATTTCCAAAGGAGAACATTTGCAACATTTGCCAAATTTTATTTGCTCTGGCACAGATCCCCAGCAGAATACCTCACCTCCTTGTCTTCTGGCCAAAAAGCCACACACACAAAAGGAAAGAAAAGGTGTGCCATAAAAAGACACATGTTTCTGACAGTTCCTCACAAAATGTCAAAACAAGTCTTACATTATATTTATATTAATGCCATCCGCTGCTGAAACATGACATTAAAAAACCCTCAGGGGTAATTTTCCTCTGAAAAGTACCTCAGGAATATATATATATATTTCAAAATATTTAGAACTTGTGCTGCCTGGCACTCAGACAAATCAGCCATCAACAGATACATAGGGATAAAACAACATCTACATATCATTCAAAAGAGATAAAAATAAAATAAAATAAAAAAGAAACAAAAAGACCAAAATGCTTCCTCACCAGCAATCAACAACAAGATATGCAAGTTTAATATCAAGATTAATACTAGATCAATAATTAAGCAGTAAACAAAAATCCAATTAAGGAACTGCCAACTCAGGCAACAAACAAACAGTAAACAACAGCTTAATCAAGGAACCAACAAGAACACTCCCATCAACATTGAGAGGGCAAACCACTGGTATATAAACTGAGAGCAAATCCCACTCCCTCTAGCACTGATGATGTTACTTCATTGGGTAATGAAACATCTGCAAGAAAACAACCAAGCTCAGAGAGCACCAAGGACCCTATAAATAAGAATTTTAATTCTGTAAAAAAAAGAATGAAAAGAAACAGACAGATATTTTTAGTGCAGAAGCAAAATGGATCCCAGTTATACTGAACCGCTCTCCTTCATTCAAACGGCCAAGGAAAATCATAGGGCTGTTTATTCTTCTTTGTTAGACACATCTAAAACAGGTTTCTCACCTGCAGCTTTAAGATGTGTGGACTTCAACTTTAAGATGGGTGGACTTCTGCTCCCAGAATTTTGGTTGGGGAATTCTGGGATTTGAAGTCCACATGTCTTACAAGTTGTGAAGGTTGAGATACACTGATCTTAAAAGGAATAGGGGAATCTGAAGGCCACCTTCTACTACAAGAACCAGAGATCCCAGCCTCCTTCTTCAACAGGATGTTGAAGGTTGATTTAAGGCAGGGGTGTCAAACTGGATTTCTTCGAGGGTCAGATCAGCATTGTAGTTCTTCTCTGTGGGCCAGTGGAGGGGAGGGAGATGAGATGGATGCCTCCTGCAGCACCCTGCCGCCCAAAATGTGTCACGGGGAGGGGGCTCGCGTGTTCCCCCATGCCCTGTTTCGGCCAGCAGAGGGCTACAGGCTACCCAGGCTGAAAATGGGACACAGGGGGGAGGCATGTGCCAGAGGTGATATTCAGCAGGTTCTGACCAGTTCTGGAGAAGCGGTAGCGGAAATTTTGAGTAGTTTGGAGAACTGGCAAATCCCACCTCTGACTGGCCCCGCCCCCATCTATTCTCCACCTCCCGAGTCCCAGCTGATTGGCTGGGTCTTCTTTGGTTGCCCTGCACAGGAGAACGGAGCTGGAAAGCAGGTTAGTGGGATGGGGCGGGAATGGGGATTTTGCAGTATCCTTCCCCTGCCATGCCCACCAAGCCACACCACGCCCACCAAGCTACGTCTACAGAACTGTTAGTAAAAAATTTTTTGAATTGCACCACTGGCATGAGCGTCCCTCTGGTAGCCCATTTTGGCTGCCAGAGGTACCACGGGCTGGTCCTTTGCTATTTCCAGGCTGGTCCCGTGGGCCAGATATAATTACCTCATGGGCAGAATCCAGCCCACGGGACTTGAGTTTGACACCCCTGATCTAAGATCATCAGATCAAATGAAATCAATTGAGCCTTCTGCCTCTAGGAGCTTCTACCCTCCACGCTCCAGAAGGTAAGCGTCCAACAGAACTGTTTATCGCACATACAGTACGAAGGATGCGTTTTTTTGGACAGCCTGACACTGGGGAGTTACGACAAAGGGAAGTCGGGGATGTCTTAAATCTTGGACAAGCAGGTTTTGAGGGAAAGCGAAGAGGGATTTATGGGCGGCCCAGTCTTACTCATTTCCATGTACTCCGGGGTCAGCCCCGTGTATGGCTCCAAGGCGTAATCCAGCTCCCATTGCTGAGGCTGCTTAGATGGATCTGGATGGCTTTCCTTCTCCTCCGACCTGTCGTCTTTTAGTTTACGCAACAGTTTCTTTAATTTCCTGGAAATGTAAAACAGCACGCCATTAACTCAATTGAAGGGGGGGGGGAAATCATTCTATTTTTAAGGGACTTTGTGCACGACAGAGCTTTGCACTCTCTCTCCCTCTCTCTCTCACATACACACACTCTCTCTCTCTCTCTGTGCCATCTGGCACCACAGATACAGGCTAATTCTTACCGTTTGTGATTTAGAAAGCCCCAGCTTTCTTTCTTTGTGTGCGTGTGTGTGTGCGTGTGCATGTGCGTGTGTGTGTGTGTGTGTGTGTGTGTGTGTGTGCTTTTAAAATCCACTGACGCGGATGTCCTTTTGAAAGTCTTCCAATAATACACTTTTACTCTGCTTCCTTTCATGCGGTCATTTTTTTTAAAGCATCTCGAGAAATTAAATCAGGTGATTCAGAGGGGAACAATTCATGAAAATGATCCATTTTTTTTTTATAATGGTAACCACCCTTCTCTTGAGAATTCCAGGAGAAAGCTCACAGGGATGTATGCATTTAGGTGTGTATGTATAGGTAGTCCTTGACTTACAAAGCTGTCATGCACCTGTCAGAGTCTGAATCCAAGGAGGAAGATGAACAGCTGAAAGGGAATGGGAGTGTGGCTCCGTTGGCTGGGGAGGAGGCTGGGGAAGGGCAAAGTCCGGCTGGGCAGAGCAGGGAAGAGGTAGAACAAGGGAGAGAGAGTTCAGAGGAAGACCCAGGCCCACCCCCTCTTCATCCTAGGGCACACAGGGAGGAATGAAGACGAGAGCAACGTGGGTTGCGTGGCTTATGGGGGAGGAAAGGGCCCTGATACCCTTCATTAGCTGCAGCTGGGAAGACAGTTGATAAAGGCAGGCTGAGTGTGGCAGGCTGCATGTGGATAGGCTGCATATGGCAGGCTGCTGGGAGCAAACATGACTTTATCCTGTGTTGTCGTAGCTTATATGTGTTCCTGGCATCTTCCCAATCGTGTGAGTTTTGCCGTGCCTTCAAGTCTGAAATTCTCGCTCCTGCCCTGCCAAACTAAGTACTTCAGTTTGGCTTGATTGGACTTAAAGTTACAGTTTGTGTTGACCATGTTTTGGAGCTAATTTTCTGCAGTCAAAGGCTGTTCCCGGGAGAGTTTTTCTCCAGCCAGAAGGTAACCTGGACATTGGGGGCAAAGTTGGAGATAATCAAGAGACTCTTATTGATTATCTGACTGTGTTGCCTTTGTGCCATGCCCCAGGTCATCACACCAAGCATTCATTTAGTGGCCATTCAAGGCTACAATGGCACTGGAAAAAAAAAAAAAGGATTTATGAGCGGTTCTCACACTTAAAACCCTTGCAGCATCCACATAGTTATGTGGTCCAAATTCGGGCACTTGGCAAATGGCGTGTATTTGTTGTGACCCGCCGACGGTTGGCAGAGCTGGCAGCAGAGTCGGACAGTAGTGAGGAGGTTGGGGAGGAACCTGGGCCAGTCTTGGAGGCTGAGGAGGGCTCGGACGAGGGTTCTGCATCAGAGGCAGAGATGGGGCCAGGGCAGGTTGACAGTCATCAGCTACCTTCGGGCTCAGACAGCCGTGAGGCTGGGGAGCAGTTGGAACCAGTTCCCAGCCTGCGCACGCACAGAGCTGCTAAAAGAAAGGAGCAATTAAGGATTCAGGGTCGACGTGGGAGCAAGGCCACAGGTGGATGATGAATGGCCCCCTCCCATCAGGATTAAAGGAGGAGCAAAAGGGGAGGGGGCTTTTGCAGGAAACAACTTGCTTGTTTTGGTCGTGTGTTTGTCCCAGCATTGTGGGTTTTCTCAGGTCTCCCTGCCAAGAGTGAGTGTGGAACTGTTCACTGGGCAGCATTCCAGGATTGCTATCAGTCGGAGATAATTAGTCCACCTTTGCGTGAATGTGTGCCAAGCCGTTGGCTGACTGTGAATAAACTAATTCACAGTATTGTAAATGAAGAGGTTTTTGCCGGGACTTCGAATTGACTGAGTGCTTTTGGGTGAGGCCTAGGACAGAACCGTATTTAGGATAGCAATTGCAATAGCACTCAGATTTATATACAGCTTCACAGGGCTTTTACAGCCCTCTCTAAGCGGTTTACAACGTCAGCCTATTGCCCCCAACAATCTGGGTCCTCATTTTACCCACCTCGGAAGGATGGAAGGCTGAGTCAAACTTGAGCCTGGTGAGATTCGAACTGCCAAATTGCAGGCAGCCGGCAGTCAGCAGAAGTAGCCTGCAGTACCGCAGTCTCACCACTATGCCACCATGGCACTCTGCAAACCATGGTTGTAGAATTGCCGGGTATAGTGGGAGTATCATTTGCAACCTTCCTAGGAGCTTCTAAGTCAAATCAGATTCGTGTTGTAGTTCACGGCAGCCAATGCAGATGGCAGCAGAATTGGACAGTGAGGAAGAAAGGGGACCAGTCCGGGAGTCTGGAGAGGACTTGGACGAGGGTCCTGTGTGCGATGCAGGGATGGGACCAGGATCATCTGGGAGTAGGGTGTTGCCTTTGGAGCCTTTGGAGTCTGGCAGCAGTGAGGCAGAGGACCCAGGGGAGCCTGTTCCCAGTGTGTGCGTGCGCAGAGCTGCTAGAAGGCGAGAGCGGCTGAAGCAGAAGGGACAACTTGGGAGTAAGGCTGGGAGGTGACTGCCCCTCTCATAAGGGATAAAAGTCAGACCTCAATGACGAACTCTTTGCAGGAAGCAAAGTAATTCAATAGATTCCAAGTCCTTCGAAGCTCTGCGTACTCTGGTTGTTTTTTTCTGATACTTTGGGTGGGTTCTGTTATAATTACTTTGGAGACTTCTGTTTTTGGCAGCATTCCCCAGCACTGACAAGCATGGGCTTATCTTGGGGAACTGTTTATAATTAGTTCTGCTGGAAATGAAAGTAATTCTCAGCGTTGCATTAAAATAGGTTTTGCTGTTCAAACGAGCTCGTGTTTCGTTATGTTTGACGAAGCCTGGGCCAGAACAAATTCGCTTAACCACCATATCATTCACTTGTTAAATCGAGGACTATCTGTATCATTGAGGGCAGCCAATGGTCCAGGCCTCCGAACCCACAAAAAGGGCAATGGCAATGGCACTTGAACTTATACTGGTAGTCCTTGACTTACGACCACAATTGAGCCCAAAATTTCTGTTTGTTAAGGGAGTTTTGACCCATTTTAGCGCATTTCTTTCCACAGTCATTGAGTGAATCACTGCAGTGGATAAGTCAGTAACCTGGTTGTTAAGTGAATCTGGCTTCCCCATCGACTTTGCTTGTCAGAAGGTCGTAAAAGGCAATCATATATAACCCTGGGACACAGCAACGGTCATAAGTGTGAACCGGTAGCCAAGCATCTGAATTTTCATCCCATGACTGTGGGGATGCTTCAAAGATCGTAACTGAAAAACGGCCGTAAATCACTTTTTCAGTGCCATTGTAACTTTGAATGGTCACTAAGTGAACCATTGTAAGTTGAGGACTACCTGTATACCATTTCATAGTGCTTTACAGCCCTCTCAAAGTGGTTTACAGAGTCAGCCTCTTGCCCCCAACAATCTGGGTCCTCATTTTATCGACCCTGGAAGGATGGAAGGTTGAGTCAACCTTGAGCCAGTGAGAATCAAATTCCTGGCAGTGGGCAGAGTCAGCCTGCAATACTGCATTCTAACCACTGCACCACCAGGAAGGAGAATGAGGAAGGAAGGAAGGAAGGAAGGAAGGAAGGAAGGAAGGAAGGAAGGAAGGAAGGAAGGAAGGAA